AAATTATGTCAGAGACTAACCCGTGCAGCTGTCGGCCTGGGCTGGAGCAGGTGAGGGGAAGGGTGCAAAGGCCTAGCTGGGTCACTTGAGAAGCAGGGCGGGGGGGGGGGGGGGGGGGGAAGCAGGCCTGAGGCACAGCTGGCAAGGGAAGGCAGGGAGGGGGGTCTCTTGAGCTCTGCAGGGGACCCCTGGGACTCAAGTCCCCTGTACCCCAGCGCCCATGCATGGCTCCAGGTCTCCCAGGGAGGCCCTTGAAGTGGGGCGCCGGCCCTGTGTGTCCTCCGGTTCCCACTGGCAGTGCTGGGGTTCCTGGAAGGCTGGCTGCTTCCTGCTTGCCCACCTCCAGAACCCAGGGGCAGCTGTCCCCAGGGGTCCCGGGACCCCAGTGGCACGGCCAGCCATACTATGAAACACGTGGACCCAGAAAGACTCCACACTTAACCTCCCAGACCCCCAAGTTTCCTGGGAAGCCCTTAGCGCCTGTGTCCCCCACCACACTGAACCCCAAAATGTGGGTGTCCAGTGAACCACCTCCAACACCCCTCCCCCACATGGAAGCTCGGCTTGCACAGCCCGGGGAGGGGCTTCCAGACAATCCAACCCAGCCAGAGGGTGAGGGGGGCGAGGGGAGGGTCTGTTATATCCCAGGCTTCGTGAAACCCGGGGCGCAAGGCTCACAGGCTGGCCAAGACTGCCTCTGATTCCCTTGGGCTGGCATGGCATCCTGGGGACCCTCAGCCCCCCTATCCACCCCCTTGAAGCCCCCCTCACCTGCTGTTTCTTCAAGACCTGCCACCTTCAAGTCCCAGCTTGACCCTGCAGGGGAATTGAGTGGAGGTTCCCTAGGGAGAGACCCCCCCGCTGTGCTGCCCAAGTCCTCTAAAGCCAGGCAGGCATAGGGAAATGGCAAACACACGCACACACTTACACGCACAGGACACAGTTCTCCAGCGGAGACAGGTGCCATTGAGTAAAGAAGTGGAGGACCTCCGTCCGTCACAAGACGGGGCAAGTGAAAAGACACGTCACGGGCCGAGGGGGCTCTGATTCCAGGACGCACTTATAAACAAATCTCAGAGCCAGCGGCCACGCGCGGCTCACGCCCATCATCCTAGCGACTCAGGAGGCTGAGATCTGAGGATCACAGCTCAAAGCCAGCCCAGGGAAGAAAAATCTCATGAGCCTCTTACTTCCAGTGAATCAGCAAAAAGCCAGAAGTAGAGCTGTGGCTCAAGTGGTAGAGCATTAGCCTTGAGAAAAAAAAAAAAAAAGTCCCTGAGTTCAAGCCCCAGTACTGCACAAAAATAAAACAAAAGCCTTCAGTCTGGTTGGTCAACAAGAAAAGACACAGACAGGCTCTTGATCAAAGAAAAATCCAAATGCAAGAAAGGCCTGGTGGTTGGAAACGATATTTCATGCCTGCTGGAGGCAGGAACTAAAATCTCAGGATGAAAGAGTGGAGGAGCCGGGTGCTGCTGGCTCACACCTGTCATCCTAGATACTCAGGAGGCTGAGATCTGAGGATCACAGTTCAAAGCCAGCCCGGGCAGGAAAGTCTGTGAGACTCTTATCTCCAATAAACCACTGTTTAGCACTGTGGCTCAAGTGGTAGAGCACTCTCCTTGAGCTGAAGAGCTGAGGGACAGCGCCCAGGCCCAGAGTTCAAGTCCCACAACTGACCAAAAAAAAAAAAAAAAAAGCAAGGAAGCCCAGGGCTGGGGACATAGCTCAGCTGTACAGAACTTGCTCAGCATCCCTAAAGCCTTGGGTTCCATTCCCCAGCACTGCAACAAAAAGAAAATGGCTTGGGATCCAGCCATGCACAGCTCTCCCCCTGTCCAGTCCCAGGACGTCCACCATGAGCCACCACCATGTAGATGGGTGCTTTCAGCAGGGCAGCCCCTGCAGCCCCCGGAACTGGAAGCGCACTGTGGCCGGTCAGCCCAGCCCCCTGCTCCTCACCTGCCCGAAGGAGTGTGGCCCATTGGCCTTCACTCTCCCTTCCCCCATTCTCTCCCCTTCTCCCCTGGGACTCCCACTCTGGGTTTCACGAGCTGTTTCAGGGCGAACCCTTTGCTGTGCCGTCAGAGGAGTGGCCTTGAGTTGGGGGTGATTCCCACCTGGGCCCATGCACGTCCACTGCCATGCCCAGCACGGCCCCCAGGCCCTGCCCCTTCCCTTTTACTGCTGTGACAGGCCAGGAATGACCACGATGGTACGCATGGCTGTCTCCTGACGCCCAGGGCTCAGGCCAGCAGATGGGATGGGAAAGACCCCTCCCCCCCCACTGCACACACGTGTTTACTGAGACCCACCGCTATCTGCAGCTGCGATCTGCTGAGTCCCTTTCTCTGGCAGGGCCAGCGCGGGTTTCCAGCAACTGCTACCCGCTACTCACTTCCTGCCAGCAGCCCGGCCTTACAGGAATGTGCACACTGAACTCACCCAGCACGCGAGTGAGTGTGTGTGTGTGTGTGTGTACCCACGGCCCAGAACCCACGCCTGCCTGGGCAGGTGCCAGGGGGCCAGCGAGAGCGAAACAACCCACTCACGCTCCTATCCTGAGACTCCAGCCTGCACAGTCCCTCCCCACTGCCCAGGGCTCGCCACGTTAAAGAGGGCAGAGTGGGGGCCAGCCTGAGGACCCCGGACTGTCCTCCGAGGCAGGGCCAACACCTGTTCTCCATCCGTGCTGCTGAGGAGACTTGAGGTCATAGCATGGTGCACCATGGGGCCTTCTTGGAATGTGCTAGGCCATTCAGGAGGTATTTATGAGCCCCGGGCCAGGCGCTGCTAGCCAGCCAGAAGGACCAGACCCAAGGAATGAATGAGGCAGAAACTGTATGGAGAGACCCAGCCAGGGTGGCCAGAGCATCAAGGGCTGAGGCAGTGGCCAGTACAGTGGACTGTTGTGAGCAGGGCGGCTCCAGAGGTCAGGAACCAGCCAAGCCAGGCAGGAGCCCAAAGAGCCGGGTCAGAGCACCAGCTGTGGTGAAAAAACCAGAATGTGGGCTGGGAAGGTGGCTCAGCGGTAGAGCGCTTGCCTTGCATGCCTGAGGCTCTGGGCTCCATTCCTCAGCACCACATAAGCAAAAAGAAAAAAGCAAGCCGGGCGCTGGTGGCTCACGCCTGTAATCCTAGCTACTCAGGAGGCTGAGATCTGAGGATCGCAGTTCAAAGCCAGCCCGGGCAGGAGAGACCGTGAGACTCCTATCTCCAATAAACCACCAGAAAATCGGAAGTGGCGCTGTAGCTCAAGTGGTAGAGCGCGCACTTTGAGCTGAAGAGCTGAGGGACAGCGCCCAGGCCCAGAGTTCAGGCCCCACGACCGGACCCCCCCCAAAAAAAATGAAAAAAAAAAAAAAAAAAGAAAAAACCAGAATGTGCTGGTGGCTCACGCCTGTAATCCTAGCTACTCAGAAGGCTGAGATCTGAGGATCGAGGTTCAAAGCCAGCCCAGGCAGGAAAGTCCATGAGACTCTTATCTCCAATAAACCACCAGAAAACTGGAAGTGGCACTGTGGCTCAAGTGGTAGAGCACTCGCCTTGAGCTGAAGAGCTGAGGGACAGCACCCAGGCCCTGAGTTCAAGCGCCATGACTGACAAAAACCAAGAGGCAGGCAGGAGGTGTAGCACCTCACACTCCCTCAGTAGAGAACGCAGGGACAGGTCAGCTCTGGGATCAGGGCGGGGCTGGCTCCATGGAAGGATTTTCACCCCAGCCCAGGAGCTCCGGCTTGTCCCCAGCTGCCACCAGCGTGACTCTGATCTTAGCATAGCTGGGAACATACACAACACATGGATGGATACACACATAATACCACCCTATACATGCGATCACACAGATGTGTAACACACATATATGAGCACACGTGACATATCTCATACCTATATACATAGCCAGCCACTCAAACACATCTGCGCAGTGTATGTAATCTATACTTCGTGCTTGTGTGCACACAGCTTCAACCAGATACACATACGCGCAGATATGCATGTACATACACAGGGGGTCCAGACAACCTCCCAGAGGCTGGGTCTTGGTTGGCCTCCTCCAGACACACCTCACTACGCTCACAGGTACCACCTTCTTTCAACCAGCCCCCTTGCTCCTACCCCCTCCCTGCTGCCAGGCCATGCCAAGCCAGGGCAGGGCTGGCACAAGTGCTGTGGGGACCGGGCAAGAGGATCCATCTGATGGACACTGTCTGTGCCCACTGCCCCCAGGGAGAGACTACCTCTCTGGGGAGACAGGTCTGCTTTGGAAGGACAAAGGCCCAGTGGATGATGGGTGGGCAGTATGGCCTGGTTGGGGGTTCCTAGACTCTAACCTCTCCCATTGCCCTGGGTCCCTGCCAACTGGGAGAGCCTGGAAACCTGGGAAGTGTGGGGGGGCGGCATTCTGTGGTTCTGCCATGACTGGGAGGTGCCCAGGATCTGCTCTTTTGTCCCCCCTGCCCTCTGCTCCCCTGTGAGTTCCTGGAGGCTCCCAGCCTATTCATCTCTCTTCCTTCCCAGAGCCTCCACTCCTCTCCCCCCCCCCATCCCGCCCCCCACTTCCCAGCAGCAGGGCTGGAGCCAGACAATGAGATAAGGGACTTGTTTTCTAAGGACTGGGGATTCAGGAATTTGGTGGCACTTAGGGGTCAGGGCCAGAGGCCCTGCTTTTGGGGAGGTCAATAAACCTTTCCATCAGAAGGAGGGTCCCTGGGGCCCACAGACCTATAGGGACTTGTGATCATCCTTGTGTCTGGATGGGCCCGCCAGGTGCAAGGGGGGAAGGGGAAAGGCATGCTAGCTGGCCCTGGCCCTGGGGTGGAGTTTGAGCTCCATCACTGTGCGAATCTCTTTCCCAGCTACACTGGAGTCCCTTCAAGGCCTCAGCCTCAACCACAGCTGCCTAGCTAAGCTGCCACCCACTCTGTCCCCTGCTCTAGACGCTCTTCCTCTGGGTTTGGCTGATCAGCATGGTGCCCTGTCTTCAATGATCACCCTCTTAGGCAGCCACAGCCTCTCCTGACTGGTACTCCTCCATCCTGGCAACCTGGACGGGTGGGTCGGCTGATACAGGGGAGGTACAGCCAGCATCTGATCTGAGGGTCTTGGAGCCCCCAGCGGTAACCCATATCAACAATGATAGAAACACCTCACGGACATGCAAAGAGCTGACCAGCAAGCAGCAGGTACTGGAATCAGCACTAAACCCATACCGTTTCTCGTCCTCACCACAGCGCATTTTTTTTCAGTGGAAGAAACGGAGGCATGACTTGTCTTAGGGCCACACAGGAGTAGGGCAGATACTTTTTAATGTCTTTTTTTTTTAAATGGAACTGGGAACCAAACCCAGGGACACACATGCTAAGCAAGCGATCTATGAACTGAGCTCCCCCGCCAGGCCTAAGTGGAAGATTTGAACTTTGAAGACATCAAGGCAGCAGCCATGCCTCCACCAACGTCCCCACCCCGCCAAGGGCTCTCTAGGCACCTTTTTCTTTTTGTCCCCATTATGTCCTCTACTGCTGTATAGTTGGTCCCAGCTGCAGCTACCCTTGTGTCCTCCTGCCCCCTCCCAAGCCTGGCACCTAACAAGACAGTGCCTGGCAACAATAGATGTTCAGTAAAACTATATTAGGAAAAAGTAACTGATGAACGTATATGTTCATCATATGCCCCTTTAAGGGCAACATAGCACCATGGTTCGGAGCTGGGCTCCCTGTTGAGGCAGCTGACTGCGGGACCGGCCCAATTTCTACTCAAGTGACCTTAGCAACATTTATTAGCGCTGGACTCTTTGCTTAACTGGACTAAATTTGTCCTATCTGTTTGCTCCATAAAAGCTTCGTGGGCCCCAGTTTCCCCTTCAGAATCCCATGCTGGGGCAGTGTGGACTACATCTCCCAGCATGCTGTGCTGCCCACCGGGACTCTCAAGTGACAGATCTTGGACTACAACTCCTAGCATGCCACACTGACCCGCCCAAGCGACCCAGCGCGGACTACAGTTCCCAGTGTGCCCCGGGCCCCGCCCCGCCCAGGTCCTGCCGGAGACCCCGAGTCGGGGCAGGGTGGCTGCGAGGACCGCGCGCTCCGAGCCGCGCTCGCGGGAAGCAGGCTCCGCCGGTCCTCCGCCATGTTCCGCGGGCCGGGCCGGGCCGTGGGCCCGGTCCTCCGGGCGTGCTGGGCGCGGGGGTCCGGGAGCCGGGCAGGGGTCCCGGCCCGCGTGGTGGACCTGCGCAGCGACACGGTGACCAGGCCCGGGCCCGCCATGAGGCGCGCCATGGCCGAGGCGGCCGTGGGGGACGACGACTACGGCGAGGACCCCTCCGTCCGCGGTGAGCCCGGCGAGCGGGCCACGCGGGCCCCGGCGCGGCGACCCCCGGGCGCTGTCCGTGGTGCTGGCGGGAGGGCGGCCAGGGCGGGCGGTGTCCGGGCCGGGGCGGGCGGTGTCCGGGCCGGGCTGGGCCCTGCGGCCGGGCGGGTCGGTGTCCGGGCCGGGCTGGGCCCTGCGGCCGGGCGGGTCGGTGTCCGGGCCGGGGCGGGCGGTGTCCGGGCCGGGGCGGGCGGTGTCCGGGCCGGGGCGGGCGGTGTCCGGGCCGGGGCGGGCGGTGTCCGGGCCGGGCTGGGCCCTGCGGCCGGGCCGGCTGTGCTGACCGCGCGTTTGCTGCCCCTCTGACCCGTTGTTAATGCGAGTTTCGGGTACCACCCTGGGCAGGCTGAGCCAGAACCCGCGTGTTAACAGGATCACCTCGGGTCCCCGGGCAGCCTCGCCCAGCCGCCCCGAGGTCCGGGTGCCGGCCAGTCAGTCCCCTAGACCAGTAGATGGCAGAAAAAACAGGGTTGGAACCTAGATCTCCTAACTCCAAAACCTGTAACTACCCTCTGCTCTCCACCAGGAAGATGAAAGTAATAAGAATTAGAACCATCTAGAAGTGGGGCTCCCCAGGAGTGGATTCTGGTATTCTAGAGACGATTTAAAGAGACGGCAACCCACAGCTTACCACAGTTTGAGCCAGTGCTGTAGGGAACCACCGGTACTGCTGAGGCTGCGCAGCCCTCCTGTGGGGCTGAGACTAGCCGTGGGACCACCAAAGTGCCCAGGGCCAGAGTAGATTAAGGGGGCTGGGAAGGTGGCTCAGTGGTAGAGCATTTGCCTTGCATGCCTGAGGCCCTGGGTTCGATTCCTCAGCACCACATAAGAAAAAAGCCGGAAGTGGTGCTGTGGCTCAAGTGGTAGAGCGCTAGCCTTGAGCTAAGGAGCTGAGGGACAGCGCCCAGGCCCAGAGTTCAGGCCCCACGACCGGACCCAAAAAAAAAAAATAAACAGAGTAGATTAAGGCTGTGCACTGAGTGATGAACCTCAGAGACACAGAGTCTCTGCTCAGCAGGCAGCTGATGGATACCAGGCGGCATGTGGGACAGGGAATTGTACCTGTGTGGACTGGAGTCTGCAGAGGGTTTGTTGAGACCTAGGGAGCTGGGGAGGGGGACCTCTCAGAGGAACTCCCCACCTAAGGATGAGTGTGGGGGGGAGGAGGGGACAGGGAGAATGTGGAGTCACCTAGCAGGGCAGCTCCAGAAGCATAAGGCTTCAGGACAGCAGTGGGGAGCGTGGCTGGAGTGTTGGGTTCAGAAGAGCCCCTCTGTCGTGGGTGACGGAGGCCAGATCATGCCAGCCTTGAATGTTACGTCAGGACTTTCCGTTCAGTGCCACACAAATAGGAAACACTGTGGACCTAAAGCAGGAGTCCCACCCACCGTCCAGGGCCTCGGCACTGGGGCTGCTGGGAAAGGAAGTAAAATAGGTGTGAGGTCCAGGCAGGACAGGAGATTCAAACCACAAGAGAAGTTTGGTGGCCTGGGGGTGGACATGGTCTGGGAGGTGGGCTCAGAGTTGACCAAGGGGCCTCCGGGCTTGGACCTGCCATCACCCTGACCACAGACAGGCTCCAGCGTCCCATTCCCCCCCCTCCCACCCCTGGACTTCTAGGCTTCTCAGCAGAGTTCCAGGGCAAGGGGCTGCCATTGAACAAATGAACTTTGTGCCCTGTGTAAGGCTGGCACGCAGAGGCTCTTGAGTGCATTTGTTGATAAAGCCTTTCTTGCCCCACCTCCTCCTCCTCAGAGCTGCAGGAAAAGACTGCAGAGCTGCTTGGGGTGGAGTGGACTCTGTTTGTGCCCACGAACACCATGGCCAACCTCATCTCTGGTGAGTTTGCCCCCTTGCTCCCAGGGCCTCAGTGGGCACTCGCTCTCCTCTGTTGAGTGTGATCGTAGGTGTCCTGCAAGATTGGGCCAAGGAAAGTGAGATCAGCAAGAATCTCCTCTTCCTCCCAGGGCCTTGGCTCTGGGCTCCCTGGACATCTCACCACTGGAGCAGTCCTGAGACTTGCCCCTGCCTGCTCCTCCTCTACACTGTGCTTTATTAAACACCCTCACCGGGTTCCTCCCGCCAGGCCTGACAGTGGCTGGCACTGTGGGGACAGCCCTGTGGCCCTTCCATGGGGGACCCTGTGCTGGGGCCTGCAGGGTCCTAGGGTACAGGCTGTGTGGCCCGGCATTCCCGGCATACATGTCCCACCATTGTGGGTTTCATGCGATCGATTTCTGTCACATAGCAGGAAGGGGTACCATTTTCTAATTGGCGTAGATACTGGCAGGCTCTCTGGCTCAGCCTGGCAAGCTGAGCAGGGGCAGAGGCCCCCCTGAACTCAGTGCCAAGTCCTCCCCTCCTCCCATCTGTCTCAGTGATGGGTCACTGCCGGCGCCGGGGCTCCCAGCTCCTCCTTGGGCAGGAAAGCCACCTCCACGTCTATGAGCAGGGCCTAGTGGCTCAGGTAAGGACGAAGCCTAGCTCTGCTGGGCCCCTGGGCATCTTCCAGCCAGCCAGCCTCAAGCAGAAGGGAGTACTGCCCCCCCCCTACCCCCCCAGCTGGAACCTACAGAGGGAGAGAGCGAGCCACAGAGAATCTGGCAGGGGAGGTGGCTTTGCCACATGGGGGCAGTGTTGGGCAGCCTCTGGGGGGGGCGCCCCCCCCCAACATCGGTTGGCTGACTTCTTGGTGTCTTGCTGCCCCCTAATGGGCACTTGCAACATTGGCACTCAGAAGGAAGCCAGGCCTCTGAGCCGAACACCAGCAAGGACCCGCTCCTGCCCATCCTAGAGGAGATGCCGCTGTGCACTGGCTCAGGGAAAGGCCCCAGGCCCAGAGCTGAGGAGGGGCCGGCTGGGGATTGGGGAATCTGGTTCCTCCCCCTGCCGCCAGGGCATGCTGCTGGACCCCCAGCACCTACCTGGCCCTGTGCCCCCTCCACCCGCAGATTGCTGGGGTGCATTCCCACCCCCTCCCAGACCTGCCCCATGGCACCCTGGACCTGGACGAGCTGGAGCGGGCCCTCACCCGTGGCCTGGGGAGCCCATACCACCCCGTCTGTGAGCTCGTGTGCCTGGAGAACACGCATAACAGCGCAGGGGGCCGGGTCCTCCCCATCGACCACCTCCGCCAGGTAGGCCCGCTGCTGCATCCCTCCACAGCCCCTGGACTACCCGCTTCCTGGACTCAGGCTTCTGACGTAGGCCAGGGGCCCTCTGTGGCTACCCTGTCATGGCAGGCTATGAGGCCCTAACACGATGATGACAAGGGACATGGCCACCCCAGAGCCGGGCTGCAGCCCCCTCCAGCCCCGGAACTGGTGTCCTGTGCACACACCCTCCTTGCTCAGAGTCAGCACTGGGCACTGGCCTGGCCTCAGGCAAGGCTGGGGAAGAGCGCGTGCTGAGTGAGTGGCTCAGCTCCAGCTCCCCTGATTCTCAACCCTCACATGCACGGTGAGAGGCCACTGTGCTGAGTGAGAGCTTAGCCTGAGCTTGGGTTCCAGACCTTGTTCCCCTCAGCTCTGCAGGAGCAGAGGCCCCTCACGGAGCCACCGTGCAGCTGAAAGGACACAAAGCATTTACCCTTGGCCCGGCCCGCAGCGTTGCTGCGTGGTGGTGCTCAATAAGGAAATGAGGGGGCTGTCGCTCTGTGGTAGAGCATGACGGCGCCAGCTACGCACACACACACACACACACAGAGTTGTGTGTTAGTATGGTTGCCATCAGCCTCTTCGCCACAGCAGAGCCACACACACACACATACACACACACACACACACACACACAGAGTTGTGTGTTAGTATGGTTGCTATCAGCCTCTTCGCCACAGCAGAGCCAAGGCTTACTTAGCACAGTACGCATATCCAGAACCAGCCAGGCTGCTGACACCAGACCTCTCCTTCAAGGGGCCACACCCAGGAGCCTCCCTCCAGCCTGGCCCCTGTGACCTCTGCCTGCCTCTTGTCCCCAGGTGCACCGCCTGGCCCGGACACATGGGGCCCGGGTCCACTTGGATGGCGCCTGGCTGATGAACGCAGCCGTGGCCCTGCGTGTGCCCCCTGCCTGCATCGTGGAGCACTGCGACTCTGTGTCCTTCTGCTTCTCCAAGGTAAGGAAGCTCCCGGCTGGCCTGGCACAGGCAGGGGTGGCAGTGCCATGGAAGGCCGAGCTGGGCCCAGAGCCGCTGGCCCTGCAGCCGGCCCCGGGCTGTGTCTGCCTCCCCCAGCCAGAGGACAGGCGTGCACAGATGGATGCCGGGAGCCTCTCCTCTTTCCCCAGGGCCTGGGCGCACCTGTGGAGGCTGTGCTGGGGGGGCCCAAGGACTTCATTGAAGAAGCCTGGCGACTCCGGAAGACCCTGGGCGGGGGCATGCACCAGACCGGGGTGCTGGCTGCGGCTGCCCTGGTGGGCCTGGCCGGTGTGGAGGAGGTGTTGCGGAGGGACCATAGCAACGCCCAGAGGTTCGCCCAAGGTGCCTGCCCTGCCCCTCCCCACCCCTTTGCTTCTTTCCACTTGGGCCCTGCATGGCTCTGGGATGCTGAGGGTTAGCTGCTGAACCTCAGGGCAGGGGGGGGGGAGAGGGGGGAGGTCTGCTCCCCTCCCCAGCCCCTGGTGCACTCTGCAGAACACTCCAGAGAACCTCCAACATGGCTCTTTTACCCATTAATTGAATCCTCACCACCCAACGATGCCCCCACTTCACAGGTGAAACTGAGGCCAGAGAGGTCAGCTGATTTGTCCCACAGTTAAAGTAGCAGAGTCGAAGTCTGCATGGCCCCGAAGGCCATGTGGGGACGCAGGCTCCTCTCCTCCCACGACAGTGGCCCCCTCCCTGCCGTCCTGGGCACGCTCCTTGGTGCTGGGGGGGAGGGGGGGGGCTGGGCTCTCTGCTCACCATCGAATCTGGCTCAGGACTCCAGGAACTGGCATCGCCCATTTGCTCTGTGGACCCTGCTGCTGTGGAGACGAACATCGTGCTGGTGAGAGTGGACGGGCTGCGGCCCGACGACCTGTGCCAGCGCCTGGAGAACGTGAGTGCTGAGGAGGTGGCCCAGACCGGCCAGGCCGTGCGCGTGCTGCTGTTTCCCTGGACAGAACGGGCCGTGCGCGCCGTGTGGCACCGCGACGTCTCCACACAGGACACTGATCTGGCACTGCGGAAGTGGGAGTTTGTGCTGCGGCAGGTGGGGTCCTGAGGACAGGACCAGGAAGCCGGTGCCCTGGCTGGGACAGAGTGGGGGTGGAGGCCCTGGCCTAGTGGCCTGCCAGGGGTAAAGCTAAGCTGGTGCTTCCTGGGGAGAGTGTGTATGCAATGTCCCGTTCCCCCCCCCCCCCTGCATTCAGCCAGAAGGGGGATGGGACAAGAGGTTACCAGGTTGGATGCTGGTGGCTCACGCCTGTCATTCTAGCTACTCAGGAGGTTGAGATCTAAGGATCATGGTTCAAAGCCAGCCCAGGCAGGAAAGTCCATGAGACTCTTATCTCCAATTAACCATCAAAACACCTGAAGTGGAGCTGTGCCTCAATGTTAGAGTGCTAGCCTTCCTTAAGGGAAAACTCAGCAACAGTGCCTAGGCCCTGAGTGTAAGCCCTAGGACCGACACACACAAAAAGAACAAAAAAGAAACAGTTCCAAAGATGGTCATGATTGTGGATTTATTAGACGTGGATTTTAAAGTATTTAAGGAATTACAAGGCAAGATCAAAATTTGATCAAGACCCTGAAATTATAAGGATCACATGGAGATTTTTTTTTTTGGGGGGGGGGTCCGGTTGTGGGGCCTGAACTCTGGGCCTAGGCACTGTCCCTCAGCTCTTCAGCTCAAGGCTAGCAGTCTACCACTGGAGCCACAGCACCACTTCCGGCTTTTTTCTTTTTTGCTTATGTGGTGCTGAGAAATCGAACCCAGGGCCTCAGGCATGCAAGGCAAGTGCTCTACCACTGAGCCACCTTCCCAGCCCTCACATGGAGATTCTGAAACTGAAAAACAATGAACTAAGAACTCAGTGATCTGATTGATGAGACACTGCTTAAGAGAGAATTGGTGAAGAGGAAGGTGAGTCAGGAAAATGTCTGTCTAGAGACTCAAAGGTGATTCCATGAAGAGTAATAGATAAACTCCTGGTGGGCTGATTAAGAAACTACAGTTAGTTTCTGGTAATACCAAGAGAATAAAATTAAAAGTGCCTCCTCTGTGTCTATCACCCAATAATCGCCAGTTTGTGTATGTTCCTTTCTGGATGTGTCCATGTATGCGTCTGATTCCATATGTGTGTCAGCTCTCCATCACTGTAACAGTTCCCTGAGTAATGAAGACAAGGGTCCCCTTAGTCTGCTTTGGGCCTGTGTTGAGGCAGTGCGTTGTGGTGGGAGTGTAACCACAGGGGTCTTCAGGGCACATGATAGCCAGACAGTAGCCCTGTGCAGTACGTGACGGTGGCCCAGGGAAGCTGGGGAAAGCGATGTCAGCGTAAGAGCACGGAGGTGCCAGGGCACCAAGCCATCTCTGCAGCCTGGCGTTCGGATGCCTAAGGCCCTGGTGAGGGAGTTGGGAAGGGAGCAAGTCTGTAGTGCGAGAACTGTGGCCTGGGCTGAGGTGCGCCCTGGGGACACTGGTGGCATCTGAGGGTGTGACCAGAGGCAGCATCGGGAGGGCGGGAGCTGGCATTACCAGCAGGGCTTTGCTGCTGCTGTGAGCTGTGTGGGGGTGGGGCCTCCTAGACAGCACCCGCAGGAACAAGGGGTGGGCTGAGGTGCTCCCCCAGATTTGCTGTCAGTCTGGCACTGGGTGAGCCTAATGTCTGTCCTCAAGCCTGAACTGCACTGTCTCCTTCCGGCAGCATGTCTCCCTTTAACCTTTAAGATGAAACTTGAACTGTGCAGAGGGTGAGGTGTCACTGTGTGGCTAATCTCTCTCTCACACGCACGCACGCATACGCACCAGCCACCAAAGTGCTGGCCCAGAGCCCAAGGCCATCTACAGTCAGATCTGGGCTTAAACCCACCGCTCAACTTCCCAGCGACCCCAGAACCTCCTGGCAGACACTAGGCTGAGGACAGAGGAGAAAGACCTGAATCCTTCCTCCCGGGAGACAACCCAGACCTGGCTGGAAGCCCAGGACCACTCGGCCCCTGTCCAGTGAAGGGGCAGGCTTGTGTCTGCAGAGGACATCAGTGGACGCCACAGACAGGACATGTGTGAAGCACACGAGTGCGTGAGTGGGCACACACACATGATGGATAGTCACATGCACGCAGGGCATCGGTGACAGGTACACACATTTGGTAACACACTTGGCTACTTTGGACATGGGTATGTGCTGCCTGTTTTGGAAAATTTTACGTCAGGTGTGGGGCATGGGTCTGTCATCCCGACCGTCATGAGTTCCAGGCCAGCCTGGGCTGTATACAGCCAGACCCTGTACTGCCACTCCTCAAAAACAAAATGAAAATGGAAAAAGGCTAACGGGACTCACAAGTCAATTTACATGAAGAAGCAGAGGTGAAAACTGCAGTAGGCCGAAGTCCCTAAGTGCCCTGCCCACACCCTGCCAAGCCCCTGGGTCCCGGAACCTCCTACCTCGGCCGCAGTGAGGGCACCTGGGAGGCGGGAGACACGCCATCTTCTCTGGCACATCCTGCAACTCAGCCTAAGATCCCTGCATGGACAAGAGCAGCTTCATAGCTCCAGCTACACAGCTGCCCCAGTCTGTGTGGCTCAACACCACTCTGGTGCGAGCCGCCACCCGGTTCTTACCACGTGAGCCTTGGGCCAGCAGCCTCTGTGTCTGAACTAAGCGAACCAGAACCCAGCTGGGCTTCTGCCATGTTCTGCAGACAGAACTTCCCCTGGCCCCCGGCCCCTCTGGCTTCCATGTTCTTCCATCCAGGCCACTGTGGAGAAAGCCAGGTGTGACCCTGACCGGCCTCCCATGTCATGGGACCCCCTCCAGCCCTTCTGGGGCGTCCACACCTACCACCCAGGCTGTTCCCAGGACTCTGGTAGTCTCAGGCTCCCCCAGGTTGCTGCAGAGGTGAAGGTCAAAGCAGAGGACTGGACAGGACAAAGGCCCAGGGGCATACACACCACCTTGGCTCAAAAACCCTCCCCCCAAGCCAGGCACCAGTGGCTCATACCTATAATCGAAGCTACCCAGGAGGCTGACATCTGAAGACTGTAGTTTAAAGCCAGCCTGGGCAGGAAAGTGAGACTTATCTCCAGTTAACCACTCAAAACCCAGAAGTGGAGCTGTGCAGCTCAAGTGGGAGAGTGCTAGCCATGAGCACAGGAAGTTTAGAAACAGCGCCCAGGCCCTGCCTGTGTTCAAGACCCAGGGCCCTCTGCAAAAATCCTCTACCTCTCCCCCCCCCCCCCCCCAAGAATAAGAATCAGGAAGGTACTCCCTCCTCTCCAGGACTCAGAGGTGGTGTTGCACAGAGGTGAGCAATCCTCTCTGGAGAAGGGGTTGATCAGGGGTGAGGGTGGGTGCAGCTATGCTCCCTGGAAAGCAAAGTGCAAAGTAAGCACCCAGCACTCTGGGTGCCCAGTGGGCAGACTGGCCAGACACACCACGGCCTCAGCCGTGGGGCTTTTCTCTGCCAGACCCCCCTCTGAATCAGGGTCATAGCTCCAAATAAGACTCAGGCGGGGACCTCTCATTTGGCTTGTTCTCATGGACATTTCATAGGGTGTTTTACGTCTCGCTGTCTAGGCACCAGTGGCTCACATCTGTAATCAGGAGGCTGAGATCTGAAGATCACAGTTGAAAACCAGCCCAGGCCGTCAAGTCCCTGAGACTCACTTCCAATTAACCTAACCACAAAAAAGCTGGAAGTGAAGCTATGGCTCACGTAGTAGAGCACCAGCCTTGAGCAAAATAGCTAAAGGCATAGCTCAAGTGGTAGAGCACTTAAGGAAAATAATCAAAGCAATAACACCCCCCACCCCCACCCCCCCACAAAAAAAACAACTAATATTGGCCAGTAGAAAAAGAATGAACATTGCTTCATTTGGGTGCAAGCCTCCTTGGGCGTAAGATGTGCGTTAACTTTTTGAGGAGCTAGAAGCTGCTTCTTCCCAGTGTGACATCTTCAGCTCTCACTCCACCTAAAGCAGGTATCAGGGTCAGTGACGGGCCCATCCCAGGCCAGTGCTACCTGAGGGAGGCTTAGCAAAGAACAGCTGTTCTCTTCGTGCTGCAGGGCTGGGAGATGGCGGTGCGGCTCTGCCTTCAAGCCTGGGCTGTGTTCAAAAACCACTTGTGCAGACAGTCACAGAGGGATTTGGGCTGAATTCTGATGCATTCTGGCAGGGTACTTCCCTTGAGATGGACCCAAATTACTCCATAGCCCATCTGAAGAGGTACTGCTTTAGAATGACCCATTACTCTTCATTATTCATCCTCTTTCCATCAGCTTGTAGCCCGGCCTGGGCAGATACAAAGCCTGTCTCCTGGCTGTCAGGAGCTCTTCAAAGCTGGCCTCAGAAGACCACTGGTGAAATCAGAGCCTGGAGAGGCCTTTCTAAGGGACATTGCAATCTGCAGTGACAAAAAACAAGGCTGCATCCAAGCCTGTCCTCTTACTAGCCCCTGTGTAAGTAGCCTCTGTCAGCAGCTGAAGGAGAGCATGGCTGGCCCCCGCACAGGCAGACGAGCCTCCTGCTTCAGGCTGATGACATGACTCCGCTGTCAACCAAAACTGGGGAAGCAGCTCAAACTGTTGGTTTAATTACCCTCCGAGCAGCTTGGCAGCCGCTAGCCAACAGCTAATTTCCCCGTACTTGGCCAGCATCCTCCGACAACAGAAAATGAACCACACATCTGCTCAGTACATTGTGAAGCTGGCTTGAGGCGCCGTTCTAGTCAAACCCAACATTCTAAAGCTTTCTGAAATGGCAGCCATCCTAGATTGGGAACTTTTTTATCCTGAGATGCGGCTGGGACCAGGAAGCAATTAAGTCTCATTCCCATGTGAACTCACAGGCCTGCTCAGCTGCTGCCACCTGCCAGGGTTCACAGGGAAGCAGGTGGAAGCCCTTGGCCCCATGCCCCTCCCCACACACAGCTGGAGTGCACCAGTAATGCCTGGCACACACGCCGCTCCTGCCATGCATCCATCCCACCCCATCCTTCTGGCCATCTTGCTGGGGCTTGGACAAGGCTCTGAGATTCTGCCGGCTGCCACTGAGGCAGTGAACTGTCCTTTCCTCTGTGCTCCTGCCCGTACCACCTAGCTGGGCACTGCTGCTGCTCATTCAGACAAGGAGAGACCCTGTGGGCTGCATTGCAGGAGGCAGTGCTCTGAGGTCCAGTTCCTGTGGACAGCA